TTATTTTTAGGGTGAGTTTCTGTTATAAAAATAATTGAAGGTTTTAAATTCACTACAATTTGTTTGAGCTTATAACGTTTATTTATTAGTGAGACAATATTTTTGTAAATAGCTTTTATGGATTTAATTTAGTAATTATTTAATAGTTTTTAAATTCATTCAATTTTTCAAGTTTTATTATACTTTTTGTTTACTAAAATTGAGTATGATGACTTAGTTGTGCATGATGCACCATCAAAAGGGTGACTGATTCACTTTCTAGTAGTTGTTGGGTTTTTTTATTAATTTCTTTTCTAAGTTGAGAATCAATTAGCCTTTCGGCAAGCATCTTATTGTATATATTGTATTTATGTAGACATATGTTTAATTTATGTTTTTATTTAATTTCTTTATGGGAGTAAGACATTGTAAAAATTTTTAGGAAGTATAGCAATAATGGGCCAAGGAGTTTATTTTAAAAAAATGCAATAATATGCATCAAAGGACTAGACTGAGCTGTCAAGCCCGAGTAAAGTAAGGAAAAAATTAGGAACAGCGAAAGAATAAAAAAATAAAATAAAAAAGTATTATGAACAAATGTTCAGAGCAAAACAAAGATACTAAAGTAAAGTATATACTAAAAAAATAATAATGATTATATAAACATTGCGCATGTAATAGAAATAATAAACTCAGATTCTAAATGGAAAATCATAACCAATGTGCAAGGTATAAAAAAACGAAGTAAAAATACTAAGTTAAACATAATACACTCAGAGCAGGAATTGAACCTGGAATTCAATAATTACCAAGTCGACACTCTAACCAATCAAGCTATAGATACATACATACGTACATACATACATACATACATACATACATACATACATACATACATACATACATACATACATACATACATATATGTAAGTATATATATACATACATACATAAATACATACACACATACATATGTACATATATACATATACACATATATATACATATATACACATAAAAAAAAAAAACAAATAGGGGAAGCAGAAAGGTAATAAAAATAATGGTGTTGTAAGATCCAATTAAAATTAACTAATAGACACATATTTAAAATAACCAAATAGGGGAACTAGAAAGATAATAAAAATAATGGTGTTGTAAGATCCAATCAGATTTACAATTTTGAACCCTGAAATTAAAGTATTATAACTTTTTTACTTTTAAAATTTTGATTCTTGGTTTTGTTTTACCATATTTTCCAAAAAAAGGTTATAGTTTAGGCAAAAAAATATAAGTTATAAATTATAAGAAATTATAGCAGGAGATTTATGTTTTTTTTTTTGTTTTTTTTTATGATCTTTAAGATCCTAAAGCATCAACAGTTGAATGAAGTTGAAGCCTCCAATGTTGAAACTAAAGAATTTTTTTTGAAAAAAGAATAACTGATGTCTGAAGAACTTCACCATATCTTGCTTAAAACTTCAATTTAAACTGTCCAAAAATGCTTAAAAAATTGCACTGTACTTTAAATTTTTTATCAGCAACATCAATTACTACAGAAATTAATACAGAAAGATGCTTTAGCGATCTAGACTTTTTTTTTATGACAAATTTGAGAACATTTTTGAGTGATAAATTGATAGAAATTTTAAGTTTTCAGTTAATTTAAAATTACTTAAGTTACTTATATAATTTTAAAATTACTTAAGTAACTTAAGTAATTGGAAAAAAATTACTTAAAATTACTTGAGTAATTTTTTTCCATTACTTGAACACCCCATCTCATCTTTTTTCCATTACTTGATCACCCCTAGATTTGAAAAAAACATAGCTGAACTATTTTTTGGATCTTTTTCTAGATTTTAATAATTCAATTCATATTAGAAGATTTTGAATAGTTTCATTCTCGTATAATTTTGGATAGTTCAGCACAGCTTAGTTTACCTTGCTTAATAATGAATATTATGATTTTTAAACAAAGTTAATTAAGTCAATTTAAAATTAAGTTTTAAATAATACTTACAATTTGATTTAAAATCTCAAAAATAAATCGTTTATAATTTTTTTGAACATATAAATGAAAAATATAGAATATATAGGATTAAAGAATGCCTTCAAGCTCTTGTTGACCATACTGGAAATATAACCACAGATCGAATAGAAATTTCAAATATTTTAAAAAAATATTTTAAATATTTTTCTGTGTTTTCAAAAGATTTGATTGTTGTACTATCTTTTCATTGAAAACATCTTTTCAAAAGCATCAATAGAAATTCAATTAAAAGCACTTAACAAATTTAAACCTGCGTGGATTAATAATTTTCATCCCCATATGCTAAATTTTTTTATTTTTTTTTAATTTTTTTTGTTATTCACCTCCTCAAGGCCGAGAAGGCCACTACAGACGAGGAGGCTGCTTAATAGTGGTTATAACTCTCTCTCAACTCTATAACTCCGAAACACAAACCTTGACGAACAAGGGCTCTGCGTGGAGAAACAAGTTGAGTGCGGTACTACTAGGGATGTGGTGGGGATCGAACTCGGAACCTCTCGCTTATGAAGTGAGTGTTTTTACCACTACACCACTACCGCATAATGTGCATAAATTAAATACACTCTTCAGTTTCAATTCCAATTTCAATCATTTTTTGCAAATCTTTTCGCTCAAGTTCAGTTCCAAATAGCTGGAAGCTAATATTACACCTATCTACAAAAAAAACCTGAAGACTATCACATAAAATCTCAGTTACATCTGTTCTATGCAAAATGACGGAACAACTTGTTAGAGATGCAATGCTTAAACATTTACTTTCGAAAAACCTTCTTGGCGCAAACCAACATGGCTTTACACCTGGTAACTTGTTTAACTAATTTGTTGGAATCATTTGATTTAATTACCCGCACTATAAAATCACGTTATGAGGTGGTTGTAGTTTTGCTTGACTTTCATAAAACGTTTGATAAAGTTAGTCACTCGCTACTTCTTATAAAAGTTTGTGCGACTAATATATCTGCCAGTGGATAAATGCACTCCTATCCAATCAAAAACAACGAGTTATTATAGAAAATTCAGAATCCAACTGGTTAAACTTCTTCAGTGGTGTATCTCATGGTTTATGTATTGGACCATTACTATTCCTCATTTTTATTAATGATATGCTTTGTCTGCATTCTTTAAGAGACCAACTCTGAATATGATCTTGGTGTTGTTGTTCACAATTGGTTTTTGTGGAATGATCAAGTAGCAAAAGCTTCAAATTCATATACTGTTCTTGGAATTCTTAGATGCACTTTCAAACATTGGACTCTTGAAATGTTCCGCATCCTTTACTGCTCTTATGTAAGGCTTCATTTGGAGTATTGCTCAACAGCATGGGGATTCTTTTCAATTAAAAATATAAAAGCTCTTAAAGCTGTTCAAAATCGAGTCACAAAACTTGTCCTAAATCTGCGAACCATGAAAGCCAAGGAACGCTGCTCAGCTATTGCTATCCAATCACTTCAAAATCGAAGGCGTCGAAGTGATCTTATACAATACTTTAAGATTTACCATGGCGTAAGCAAATGTAAATGGATTGAATCACCTTCTCCTGCTCCTGTACTTGTGCAACCTAGACTAGCTAGTGGTCTTTGGGGTTTTCCCCATTGCATTCAGACACCAAGAATTATTAAATGTGTAGCTCACAAAATTTTTTTTATGCAACCATGTGGCAGTTGATTGGAATGCACTACCACCAGATATCATTACCAGATATCATTAGAAATGTACCACATATTGTCAACATTAAAACTTTCAAAAAAAAGCTTGACAGATTTTTTGGCTCACCTTCAAAAAAAAACTGTATGATCAGTACTTCTGTTTCTCACTTGGGAATATTAACTCAATGTGCCGATTATTTTATTTATTTTTTATTTTTGTTTGGTTAATTAGCTTTTTTTTTTCCTCTGTACCTATCTACCATAGCAGGGATTGGTTGCTTTCCCAGCTTCACAGATTTTTCTGTTGTAGATTAAATTTAAATTAATTAAATAAATAAAAAAGTTAGACAAAAAAAAAAGCAAGGTTAAAAAAAATTAAATAGAAGAATTAAAAAAAAAAGAGTGAAATTGAGCAAACTAGTTAACAAACAAACAACAAAAATTTAAATAATTTCTAACTTAAAAAAAATCTCAATTGTATAATTGTATAATTGTCAAATGTATAATTGTATAAATGATATTCTTACCTATTTAAAAAACATGGCTTATCAGATTGAATGTGGAAATTGATTGAATTTATTGCAGTATTATAACATAAAATAATTACATAATTTTAGTTTTAAATAAAAATATGATTTTATTTATTCTAATATTTTTGGAAAAAGTTCCAGCACAAAAAAAACCAAATATAAAAAAATCAATCAAACCGAATTTAAAAAGTTTGTTAGAAAACCATTTCAACCAAAATATAAAAAAGACTTTTTATGACTATGGTATTTAATAGTAGACATGCAAAATATTGGATAGTGCAAATCTGCGTAACAAGCATCAGATAATACAGCGTATGTGATTAATGTAGCCATTTAATATTGAGCATATAAATTAATAACTTTAACACCTAAAATATATTGTCAGCATTACAAAGAACATGAATATCTTTGCCAAAATGATCCCAAAATCTGACATAAAATAATATAAACATTTTAACCTTTTCCCGTAAAACTATTATCACCATGTTATCAACATGAACTTTTACAACTTGTTTGTAAAAAAAATGAGTTAAAGATTAAGATCTTATATCATGAGTTTATACATGTTTGAACTCTCAAGTCTTAAAACTTAGTGAAATCTTATATCATGAGTTTATACATGTTTGAACTCTCAATTCTTAAAACTTAGTGAAATCTTATATCATGAGTTTATACATGTTTGAACTCTCAAATCTTAAAACTAAGTAAAGTTGTTGCCTTTAACTTGCAATATACACGCAATTTAAACAAACGTCACCTTAATTGCTATTTTTTTCATTCTCATTCTGTTCATAGATTCATGACTGTGTTGTACTTCTTAGAAGACACAAAAAATGGTGGTGAAACAGCTTTTCCTGTTGCTGGGCTTGATCCCTATTTAAATGATTTGACATCTGATGTAAGACTTTTTATCCAAAAAAAGTTTTGACACATATAATTTATAATCCATTATAAAATAATTTATAATCAACAAAGCATAATTCATTATAGTTTTTAACTTTACTTTTATTTTTTTCATCATCTTTTTAAATCTGTTATTAAAATTTAAGCTTTTAGACTTTTACCAGATTTATTTCATTTTTTAATAGATCAGTTTTGAAGATAAGTGTGACCTGTCAATCTATTGCTCAACTGCAAAGATTGTTGTGAAACCACAGAAAGGTCGTGCAATTCTATGGTATAATCACTTTATCAATCCTGACACAGAATGGACTGGTGCTGTAGATCGGAACAGTCTACATGGTGGTTGTGCAGTTAAAGAAGGTCACAAGTGGATTGCTAATAACTGGATAAATGCAGGTAATATTACTAAAACTTTATAATTTATCATTAAAATAATATGTAATTAGAATATTTATCATAGTAATAATAATTTATTAATGAAAAATTTATAATTAATTTATATTTATCAGGTCAACTCAAAGAGCACGATATATTGAGCTGGACAAAAAAACAGTTTCTAGGTGTGTTTTTATTTTAATTTTATTTTAGTGGTTTTTTATTTTTATTAACTAATTCCCGCTATCAGTTTTTATTGTTTATCTTTAAGAATCAAACACTGTTTTAATGTGGTCCTTAAACCATAACAACCTTCTATTAAAAGTCACAAGTTAAATGTGAGCTATTGATTTTGAAGTGGTCATTGAACCATTACAACTTGCAATTAAATGCCACTACTTAAATGTAACTTATTGTTAGGAATTCAGATGCATTTAGTCCAATTTTACATCGGTCAAATATAGTCATTGTCAAATATGGACACATGTATAATGTTAATACTAAATGACTAAGTTATTTGATATCTTTCATCAGTATCTATTGAAACAATACTTTTTTTTGGTCAATTTGTAAATAGTTAGTTTATTAATAAATTTTCATTACTTTTATATTACAACTAGTATTACTAATAGTATTTACAATACTAATTTACAATTAGTATCATTATTGGTAATTAATAAACCCCTTTTATGGGTATGATAGACCTGCTGTTAAGTCAAAGTACTCCATAGTAAAAGCAGCCCTAGCACAATGGTTAGCATACTTGCCTCAGAAGCTAGAGATTTGTGGTTCAACCTCACCTATAGGCAAATTTTATAACATCAGTAAGAATGATCATTGATGCACAAACAGTTTAAAAAACGAAATTCCAATTTTAGAGCTTTTAAGTGTCTCATTAGTTTATTTTCATCACATAACAAACTTAAGTTCCTATTAATTTTTGTAATTTTTTATTTCTCTTATTTTTTCACAATAAATAAAATTTATTACTTTTTATGTAATCTGCTGTTGATTGGTGTGATCTTCAAACTCTTAACTTAAACCTTAAAATATCTATGGTTCACAAATAAACTGAATCTAAAGGATATTTTATAATTGTATTAGGTTTCATTTTTGAATTTTTGATTGTCAAAATTTGTAAAAATGAGTCACTTTTTTTAAACAGTTATTTTAAAGTGAAGTAAAGAACCCAAGGTAGCTAAGTGTATTGTGTTTTTAATAGTAATAAATTAAATATCAAAATATATCCAGGTTCATATGGACTTGAAAAATAATAATTCAGGTGTTCCTACTGGTTAAAGTAGGAACACCTGAATATATATATATATATATATATATATATATATATATATATATATATATATATATATATATATATATATATATATATATATATATATATATATATATATATATAAATATATAAATATATAAATATATATATATATATATATATATATATATATATATATATATATATATATATATATATATATATATATATATATATATATATATATATATATATGTATATATATATATATATATATATATATATATAGATATATATATATATAGAGAGAGAGAGAGAGAAAGTTCTAGATTTTGAGGACTTTTGTTAGAAATTGAAGATTGTGCCCTTTATCTATTAATATAAATAGAATATAAATAACTTGGTATTATTTTTTTCACATTATATTGCCATCAATACTATCATTAAGGTAATTTTTAAAAAATAATAATAAAACAATCCCTAATTGATTTTAAGAACTTTAACCAAATTTTCCCATGTAAAAATTTTTGGCATTACTGAAACTTTTTAAGTTCAAGAATTTTTTCCATTTGTTATTATAGCTTTTTTTTTTTTTTTCAAACATCTTCGCTTCGCTTCCAACAAGGCTGCAAGCAACCACTAATTAGAGTAGGAAGTTACTGAAAGAGAGAAGATGAAAATTGTAGAGCAAGATAACGATTGACATACGACTTAAAAGATTGCAAATTATATGAATCAGCGAAACAAGATGAAGGAAGCGAATTCCAAAAACTGATGTTCGAGGAAAAAAACTAGAGGAATAAGAGTTTTTGGAGCACTTAGGAACAGTCACAGAAAAAGGATGAGACTTAATTGAATGACGAGTAACACTGCCGGATTTGAGATTTATAAAGATAGAGAATAGAATCCAGAGTAAGAAAGTGTCGAGCTCGATAAAAAGATGCAACTTTAGCAGATGCTAATTTTGCAACGGATTTGATATATGGTTTCAAAGAAAGATCGGAAGTAAGAGTTAATCCTAGAAGATGAAGGGTAGATGACTTATCAAGCACATTGCCGTTCATAAATATAGGAAGGTCTAAATTATTGCGGTAACGATAAAAATTAAGCTTTATCTGAATTAAAATTCACCAGACACTGTGAGCCCCATGCTGTAGCAGAAGTGAGATCTTTTTCAAGCTCAAATACCCCCTCCAAGCTAGCCTAGTAAATCCGTAACATTGTTGAATTGTAAACAACTATAAGTGAAAACTCTAATTGATAATGCCCCAGTATTGTTTCAGCTTTAAGTACGAGATCATCTAGTAATAAACAGATTACCAAAACGTTGACGCATGATAAAAATTTAATTCTTGGATAATATTAGTATAATAGAAATGTATTATTTTTTATTTATTTTTTTTAAGTAAAAATATTCTTTTCCAAGTAGATTTTTTCCAAGTAGATCTCACTTCTGTCCATCCTCCCCAACACCTGATGTGTTGTATGTGGGAAATACTTGTTTAGTTCTAACTACTGCATCTAAAGTCTTAAAGGTAAATGTTTCAATGTTTATCTTTGAAGCAAAAAATCTTTCAAAGGATTAAAATTTTTCCCTCCTTTTCTAGAAGGTTTTCGTTTTAACGAGCTAAACATTCTTTTTAGGTATAAATGCAATAAAAATTTGACCTGCCTGATAGAGTGAATGCAATTTAAAATTTAATTTTTTTAATACCTGATAAAAAGAATACCACTTAAACAGACCACAAAAATTTTAAAATCAAATTTAAATAGGTTTTTAAATAGTAAATCTTTTTTTTATTTTAGCCAATATTGAAGAAAGTGAAAAAAACTCGTAGTTAGAAGGTTCAATAACATTTTATTGTTTTAGAGGAATAAATTTATACATACACTCATATATATATATATATATATATATATATATATATATATATATATATATATATATATATATATATATATATATATATATATATATATATATATATATATATATATATATATATATATATATATATATATATATATATATATATAATATATACATATATATATATATATATATATATATATATATATATATATATATATATATATATATATATATATATATATATATATATATATATATATATATATATATATATATATATATATATATATATAGACAGACACACACACACACACGAACATATAAATAAATGTTAAACACACACACACACGAACATATAAATAAATGTACATAGACTTACGCGTTCGTACATATATTTTATAGGAAATTGAATTTTATAATTTTATAAGCGTTTATATTATAGTTATTCGAAAAATATTTTTAAAAGATATTTTTATAATTTGTATTACTGTGTTTTTAAATTTTTTTCATATTTAGAGTTTATACGACGTTAATAAATGACTTTATTTTTTATTTGTTTTTTGTTGTTGTTTTTTTCCTTTAACTTCAAAAATAAATTTTAATTTTAAAGATTAACGTTGCTTAGTTCTAAATATATAGAACTTTTTCATTCGAAATGTATTGAATCTCCTTGAACATTCACATATAAAATACGTTGAATCTCCTGGAGCATTTAAAATATTTTAATCGCCTTTAATACTAAAATACACTACATTGCACTTAAAATACATAAAAAACCTCCATATAAACTTCCTCCAACAAAATTCTGTTTTTAAATATTCATTATCCATGATCCATGACAGATTTAATCGTGCATATGTGAAACATCATGTTTGCTGATGATACAAATCTATTCAGTCATGTTTGCTGATGGTACAAACCTTTTTTTACTAACAAAAATATTAGGATTTTAGAACTTTTAGAATTTGTACGAAATAAAAAATAAAAAGTTAATTTTTGAAATGTTTCGAATTTTCAGTCGATTTTTTGAATGCCAATCTTGTTTTGTCCAAAGAAAAATGTTGCTTGAGGGAATTGTCAATTATTGCATTGCTGACGACACAAGTTTAGAATTGGAGACACAATCGTCTATTTCTATAGAAGGTCCGCTATTATCTAGAATTCTCTCTTAGGAAAAAAAAAGAAAAAGTCCTTTAGAAAAAAAAGTGGGGACTCCCCAGCGTTGTCGGCCCTGTATTGAGGAAATTGTGATATAAAATATTTTTGCAGTTCTTGTTATGTTTTTAAAAACTAATGTACTCAATTTTTTAAAAACTATTTTTTAAAAACTAATGTACTCAATTATTTTACTACATTTTTTTAGGGTTTTTTTTTCAAGTTTTGTTTTAAATTTGAGTACGTCCACCATTTTTTTTATGTCAAAAGATATGACATCCCCACTTACTCTGGTATGACACCCCCACTCACTCTGGTATAACACTCCCACTCACTCTGGTATGATACTCCCACTCACTCTTGTATGACACATCATCCATGAAACATTTTTCAACTGCTCTCAGTTTTTTTCTTTGCATTTTATTTTTAACCATTGACTTTCACTTCATACGTAGAATCCTGGTTTTGTCAATTTTACATGATGAAGCTAATGTGACAATTCCATTTAGGACAAAGTACTTTAAAACTTCTAGCATACCATTAGTACCATCATTATAATGTAGCACTAGTGAGTGCGTTCCTATTTCGATTGTAGCCTTACTAACAAATGTGCGCTTTGTAAGCGAGACCGTATAATTGAATTTAAAGATTTATTGTCATTTTGTGTTGTATTATGCAAACATTCCATTAGAAGATCATCAGCTTGAAGATCTTTGATGATTGGAAAAAGAAAATTCTTAATCCAGATAGGTATACACGATTTTGGTTTGTAATTTTTAAGAGCCCAATAAATATTAGGCTCTCAATCTTAAAAATTTTAGATCTTAAAACTTTTCAATTCTCTTGGGCAAAACTAATTCAGAAATGTTTTCATAATTGGTGAAATGAAATAAATTACTATAAACTGCTTTTTTTTTGACATTTTGATGAATTGCCATGCCATAATAATTTATACATTTTTCTGTTAAGTTACCTTTTCTGTAAAGAAGTTTTAATGCTCACATTTTAACTGCAACAAATGTGCAAATCCTTTTCTACTGGAATCAACATCTGATAAAGTCAATGGCTGAAAGCAATTATTGTATGCAGTTTCAGCTATCAATTCTTTGAGAATTGAAAAGTTAATAAATAAATAAAATCTTTTTTAGAGTCAAATATATTTGAACAGTTTAATTTTTTCTTACACTAAAACAGCTGTTTGTGCAAGATGATGAAATGCTAGATTTTTTATTTGCAACAACACCGATCCATTTTCGTTTTATTCTACTTGATAAAATTCTTTTACTTGTATTTCCTAGTTTATTCATTAAAATAAAATCTACTTGTATTTCCTAGTTTATTCACTAAAATAAAATCAATTTTCATATAATTTTATATAAAATGAGGAAAAAGCTTCAACATAATAGACTAACATTACCAGTCCAAAAACACTCCTGTTATTAAATTAAGTTTTGAATTATGACTTTTAAAACGGAAAACTAACAAGAGTCTGCATATAACACATTAGTTTGAGAAATGATTATAGAATCAAAATACCAAAAAATCCTAAAATTGTTTTTTTTCAAAAAACTTTCTTTTTTTAGGTTGTGAGCCACCTTAATTATTTTTTAAAATTATAATAAAAAGTTCCTTAAACTGTTATTTGGGATTGTCCATAAATTACGTACTCTCAGAGAGGAAGAGGGGGTCAGCAAATGGCGTATATGAGATGGGGGAGGGCACTTGGTCAATCATGAAAGTATGGAGACACTAAATTTTAAAAAATATCATAAAATGTTGGGTTCGTAGGTTAAAAGCGTAGGTACTTTTAGGGAGGTAGAGGGTATTCGAAAAAGCGTATAACAAAATGCTCAGAAAGGGTAGACTATTTGAAATAACCATGAGAGACCCAGGGTAGACTATTTAAAAGACCCATGGGAAACTCAGAAAGGGTAGACTATTTGAAAGACTAATGGAAGACTCAGAAAGGGTAGACTATTTGCAATACCCTTGAGAAACTCAGAAAGAGTAGACATTTGAAATACCCTTGAGAGACTCAGAAAGGGTAGACAATTTGAAATACCCTTGAGAGACTCAGAAAGATATAATTGGCATAATTGTCAGTTCTTTTTACATGTTTTTTGTGTAAAAGTTTTTGTTATTTAAAAACTAAAGAGGGAAAGTTTAAAAAGTACCGGACTGTATAGTCTGGTACTGGTTAGTAGCCCCCATATGGGGGGCTAATATTACATCTCAAAATTAACGCAAGCAGACATTATATTATTGATTATCAATAAAGTCTTTAAATGAGTTTAATATGGTTTTTAACAACACATTAAAAAACCTTTTTTGTATGTAACTATATAATAATCGCCGGATTTTCAAATTATGAAACTTTTTACATTGCTTTTGACGTGGTACAATAATACAATGCAATACCACTTGTATTTAAATCAATTTAAAATTAAATCTTGGAAATTCTTTTTTATAACTATTTTTATATGTTTAAAAAAATTAAACTATTCAAAATTTCTGTTATTTGTGCAATATTTTTCCTGTTTGGTATTTCAGCTACTTATATATTAGTTTTTCAGATTTCAAAAAGTTACAAAACTATAACTGTGAATCAGTTACAAAACTATAGTTGTGAACAAAAATAAACTTAGTAAACTCAAACATCAGAAAAACACATAATTATCAGTTTTTAATGACTATCTTATTTACGTATAATTAGGGGCAATAAGAAAAAATTTGCTTTCTTCTTGCCCTAGCCATTTGTATATTTTACAAAAGAAAAGAAATTATTTGTAGCGGCAAATTTGAAAAAAAAATTATAAAAATTAAAAATCAGCCACTGAAATAAAGAATCTCTTTAAGCAATAAAAAAAATGCAATAATCAATGACCAGGTTACTTTGAAAAAAAAGTTAATTTGATAATATTATATGAAAAATACGAATAATTTTATAGACTGAATTCATCTTTAAAAACTCTGTTATTCATTGACAAATTATTACGATAAAGTCCGCGCGTCATTCAATTTCTTATTCACGAAAAAAAAAGGGTAAAATTAACTTTCGAACAAATCCGAACTTTTGAATGATGAGCAGAACTTGATTGTCAGACGAACTTATAACTTTATTTAAGAAAATATTTGATCCCCTAAATATTTGGAGGTTGTTCAAAATTTAAATTGACATAATTTTTTAACTCTAAGAGATTTTTGAATGACATTAAAGAGTTGTAAATAAACTTATATTTAGTTTAAAATAAAATAAAAATGTATATTTTCAATATAGCACTTTCTCTTTTAAACGATAAATAAAATCTCTTTAATTACTGACATATATGTAATTATGTTTGTATAAGTGTATGTGTGTATGTGTTTATGTGTAGGGGAAAACGGGACAAGATGGCGAATGAGACTAAATGGTTTTTCATATAATAACTCAACAAAAAGAACCTAAAAATGGGTGAAAACGAAACCATATTTACATCTTCTATTTTAAAACTTTAATTGGTTTTTTTAAATATTATTAACGCAATTTTATACACAAAAGTTTACTTTTTTGCGTTTAAAAAAAACCTCGGTTTTGGTTATTTATAATCAATGGTGTCCTTCAGGTATAAATCGTATAATAAGTCATCTTGTCCCGGTCACATGACCAAATGAAAATTTATAAATTTTTTATTTAACAAAAAAATTACAAGTTTATTTTGAAGAATTATTTTAATTTAAAGAATGTTATTAGGGTGCCCACAGCCTATAGTAGAAGGTTAACCGACCTTATTTTCCATCTTTTTTCAAATAGATTATGTATGATAAAATGCAATAATATAGATTATATAAGGTAGTTTAAACGACTAAAAGTTTTTTTAATTGAAAAC